ACTTTCATAGTTCAAGCTGATATTTGATAAACTTTGAACTTTCATAGTTCAAGCTGATATTTGATAAACTTTGAACTTTCATAGTTCAAGCTGATATTTGATAAACTTTGAACTTTCATAGTTCAAGCTGATATTTGATAAACTTTGAACTTTCATAGTTCAAGCTGATATTTGATAAACTTTGAAATTTCATAGTTCAAGCTGATATTTTTTTGCCAAGCAAATCAAATATAATGGCAAATTCGACATTAAATTAGCAAATTGGATATCACTTAATTACAGAAAAGGAAACAATAATTGCATAAAATGGAGAGATTAATTGCAAAAAGATCTTAAATTTTGATAAATTTGAACAAAATATGAATTATACAATATGAAATTTTCCGTTAAATAATGAAGTATTTCATTAAAGATATTATTCAATGATACTAGGCCTAAATAAATGTTGTAAATTTTGGATATATTATATGTAAAATATAATAATATTATATTCCTCCTAATCTATAGAAATATATTTAACACTTTTTTAGATATTTATAAGAAGGAAATTTGTGTTTTTTTTCTTTTCAAAAATATTTAACTTCATTTAATTAGAAAATTTTTAAAAATTTCAAATCAAAATATTGAAAAAAAATTTAAAAAAAAGGAATGAAAAACATACCAAATTAAGGGAGAAATCTTTACCCTTAAAACGAATTAAAGCTCCATTTTGGGTAAGCGTAATTATGCATTCTATGAATGATCCATTGCGTTTTTTGACTATACCTTTATTTACTTCAAAAATTTGCATAATATACGCTGGAATGACAGTTGATTGCTTAGATGATGACATCGATGTTGTAGGAAGATGATCACGTGTGGTGCAATTTGACGCTTCATAACAACCTTTGATAATTCTGTAGAATCGATCACAATCATCAGCCGAAACTACATTTATACCGTATGTTTCACCATGATAATGCCAATAAAGGAAACAGGATGATACACGAGTGATACGATTTGCTATAAAATACATAATTAATTTTTAAAATTTCAAGATAATAATAATAAATTCCAATTTTTTATCATTAAATGATAATTATGAATAATTGATATTTAATTTTTTTGAAAATTTTCGAATAATTTTTTTCTCGCAAATTCATTTGAAGCAAATACTTTAATTTCTTTTAACTTTTAGATGTTTGTAATCATCATTCGAATTACTTTTTTGGGCAATTTTCTGCAATAATTTTGTTTGTAAATGTTGTAAATGCTAATTATAGTTAGGCAAATATTCAGCATAAAAATGTTATAATTTCATTCAAATGAACTAATTCCTTTTTCTAAAATTCAAAATTTATAATTTATCAATTTAAACAAATTAAAGATATATTCGGAAATCTTTCCGGCAAAAATAATTGATGACAACAATAATATTTA